AAGCCCAGCTTGTAGTGGAGGCAGACACCTTTGGTAGCCAGGTGAGAATCCGAGGCAAAGAAACCAACTTCTACCTTTGCATGAATCGACGCGGGAAGCTGGTGGGAAAGGTGAGGAGTTTTCTTATTCAGATGTGTTAATAAAACAATGACTCCAAGCTTCCTCACAGGCCTCACTTTATGCCATTGTGTATATACCTGTGGTTTTTCTGCTCTTTCTCAGAAGGCCAGTAACCGAAGCGCTGACTGCGTCTTTGTGGAAATGGTCCTGGAAAACCATTACACAGCTCTGATGTCTGCGCGCTACACGGGCTGGTATGTTGGCTTCACAAAAAGGGGGCGTCCTCGCCGGGGACCCCACACGCTCCCCAACCAGCAGGACGTACACTTTATGAAACGCTTTCCGCCAGGGGAACAGCCTGACCTCACCACACCCTTCCGCTTTACGACCATCAGCAAGCGGGTCAAAAGGGTCCGCAACACTGGGACACGCTAGTAGTGGCTAATGCTGGCACCCACCGTCTTGAGGACCACAAGCCTCACCCTGAGCCTCCAAATGGCTAACCCAGTCATCTCTTCTGTTGCACTCGACTGATCATCTATCCCTTTGATGGGACAAATATTGACCAGAAACCCAATGAATCATTAATGGGGTTCAGCTTTAAGAATCCTAAATCAACACTCATAGCACCTGGTTAGTCACAATTCCGCTTACCTTTTATTCCCTTGGGCCAACTGGACTGTACCTCAGCTAACGCTGGAAACTCAGAAAGAGTGACAGAAAGCCTTAAGGTCAGTTGAAGTCCAAGGCACAACAAATGCCTTGAATCCAGAGTCACATAAACCACATCCCTACCGTAATCCTGTCTGGAGTCCAGGTGGACTATGCCAAGCGTGGGATTGGAACTGGACTATACAGAGAAACCATAGCAGGGGAAAGACTAGCTGAACAAGACAATGAGTGCTCAGCCTATGACAAAAGGAAAATTGGGACATGAGAATGTTCTAAAGGATCCAGAGGACATTTGATGAACTGTTGACATGTGACGCACTTATCTGTCTCACTACTAAACTGGTGGGAACATGTGGGACTGTTGGTCAAAAGGCAGGAAATAAAGGATGAATGAAGAAATATTAGAGTGAATGACACTGAATATATGCATGTTCTTGAGAGGCTGACAAGAAAATGTGTATTGCATGAGTGCTTGGAGATAAAAATCACGAGAGGTTCTGGAAATGGACCGTGCTGTCCCAGGACATCTCGATGCAGGGACCGAAGCTTTAAGAACTGGAATGTACTTAATAAACCAAGCTGCACCAAATTCTGCCAACAGCTCACTGCAAACCAAACCAACTGCAACCAAAGACAACTGGAGACGTTCTTTATGATTCCTCCTCTTTCTTTGCTTCCCCCAAGGACACTGCATCCACAGCTTTAAGGTGCAGAAGGTGATGAGTGCTTGGCTAAGCCCAGTGGGGAGTGTGCCTTCTCTAATAGCTTCGCTATAGAAACGACCCAGGGGATGATGCTCCTGTGAGATACCGTGGACACAGAGTGCTGCTATCAGGACATTCAGTGGGATATCCAAAGTCTCATGTATACACACAAGGGAAGAAAAATTAAAGGGAACAATTTATTGAAAGTATAAATATATATTATATATTAAAGAAAGACAGAAACATAAATAAGCAATCTTACTATGATGGTTACTATAATTATTACGATAAAATTATTTCATTTATTTATTTCAGCTCTGTGTGCAGCAGTCTTTCTTGACTCAGTAAACCTTTCAGAAACATTTCAAATGTCTCCCAGTTTCTTTTAAGCAGCTTCAACACTTCCTCATTTCATGCCAAGACGAGTAATTTGCACGCACTATTTTAAGCCAAGTTGCCATCCACTGTCTAGCTTCATTTATTCTTTTATAGTTGGTGTGGTCGCTTTTCTAGGTTTTTTTTTTTTTTTTTAAGAAAAGGGGATGGCGTGGTGACATTGACAAAAACAATTCTTCCTCTTCTGGCATTCCAGTCATAACTTTCAAAATTAAACATATAAAATGGCAGTATTATAAACAAAATGATTGTGCAATGCAAAACATAGTAAACAGCATAACTTTTTACCATTCTTGTCAGTTTAAATTCTCTCATTGTGGGCTTCATGTACATATTGAAGTTTTTGTGATTCTGAGATTATGAAAGTAGTGATTTTTTTAAAAACGGGAGTTGGGCGAAAAAGCTGAAATGTATTATGGATCAAGTATGACGCACCCAGGCTCAAATGAACTCACATATCCAATCTAAGATATGGTTAAATGTAACTTATGCTCTGTGTAGCCTCAACATTATATTTATAAAAGATATATGTAGCTTAGGCTGTACATTGTATTGAAAAACGTAAAATATATATTAGCACTATTCAAATTCATAATTCAAATCCCAGTACAAATAGGACATGCATGTCGATGAGAGCATGTAAACATCTGACTACAAGTATATACATTTCCTACAGTCCACCCAATAATATATTGATCTTGATTTGTTCTGTTTCAATTAGATCTATGTGATAAAGGTAGAGAATTTATGAGCATAACCACATTATGGCGGTTTCGGTAGTGCTTGCATAAGTCCCACTTCATTCCTGCTAATGAGAATCACTGCAGAATAGATTCATGAAGGTTCTTAATGCCAGTAGCAGAAAAAAAACCCCCCCAAGAAGTAGGAATATTCTTTTTTGCTTGAAAAGGAGCACTTTCAAGAAATTTGACATCGATCATGTCCTTAAAGCTGCTTTTAAATTGAAATTCAGTTCAAACAATGGAAAGCTACAGCATAAGATATCGTTTCTGGCAGTAAGCGCACCACCTAAGACTTTAAATGCCGTTGAAAATATCATGCCAACATCTAACAAACTCTCAGAGCAACCAGAGTTTTCAAAAATGCACCTTTATTTAATTGATCAAATCATCGGGAAAGAAGGGCATGAAGAGTAGTGGAAGTTTTCTAGCAGTTTTTTTTCCCCTCTCATCTCTCCTGCTCTTATCCTCCATCCCTTCCTTCCCAATCTTAGCAGGAGGTCACAGAAGAGATGTCACTGCCAAATGACCCAATCACTTCGGCAGACACAAACAGCTGACTCAGGGGGAAAAAAGGTTGCACCAGAGGATTCCTATTGCAAGGCAACAGGAATCTGCACCGAAGGGGGGGTTGGTATAAGGAGGAGACAGTGAGGTGGAAGAGAAAATGGGTGTGGGATAAAGAAGAGCGAGTAAGGGAGTAAAGAAGTGGTGGTGGGGCGGGGGGGGGGGAGAGTGTTGCTGGTGTAAGTTGTTCGTTTCTGGAACGTTGCTTCAGTTCCACTCGGGAATGATGGAAATATTCCGCGTAGCCAAACCCAGAGTGGAAGGTGTATGGTAATCATGTCGGGGAAGGAATGCCAAATATGTGCGTGAGAACGAAGCTGTGACCTGAGAGCTGCAGGAATTATGGGCCAAAATCCCACAGACCCAGAGGAAGCACACACACCCATATCCAACACATACACACATCATATATTAAACAGTGCTCCACCAAGTGCAAATGTATCCCACATAACTTATACTCTGAATCTTAAACATTCAGTTATACTGGCCGAAGCAGAGCAACGGAGACCATCCCCTCACAGCAGGCCACCCCCTTAGACTGGAGAAGACACATTGAACGAGTGGGCTGACATATTGTGAAAGAAGAAAAACTAAAGTACATGCAGACGGCCATAAAATGTACCGCATTTCAAATATATCTCTCAAACTGACAGCATTTACAAGATGTGGTATGTGATCCTCTGTAACAGGTTGTTTAGACTCCAAACTTGGCCACCCAATTGTCAGAGCTACAGCCTTAAAAACAGGTTGTGCTCTAGCAGGAAAATGAGTAAATACTCCCATCTGGTGGTAAAGATCAGAAAATATTATTTTACGTGGAAAAAAAAAAATGTTGCCCTCGGATTTGCAAACGGACACAGACGTTTCCCATTCATTCTTGAGTCTTACCAGCCTGTAGGTTAGATTTTGTTTCAATTGAGACCAAACTGATACAACCAGGTTTCTCACTTGATGAAATGCTTGAAACAAAAGTAGTTGTAAATACGTGATTGTTTGGGTTTTTCAAGCAAAACTGCAATCCATCCATTTTCTTATGCCTTTCAGAGATTTGGTTGTGCTGATGTTACTAATCCAAGTAGGGAAAAGCAAACATCCCTCTGCCCAGTGGCCCTGCCCTGCTCATACTGGAAGATTTCGAAGCTCCGGGTGGAATGTGCCTGGAAGACCTTTAGTCTTGATCAGATACACAAATTTACCTCAACGGACTGCCTTTTCTTTGATGTGTAGGACACAGCTTCATTCAAAGGTTTGGAATCACAACAGACTGGTAGTTTTGCTTTTTGCTGTAGCTCTTTCTTGACCACAACAGTCAGACACAGTGCCCATATTACTGTTGACGAGACCACGATTAGTCTTTGGCTCCATCCCACTGTTATCCATGGACAAGACTTCAAGACACTTGAATTCCTCCATTGAGACAAAGACCAACCAACAACCTGGAAAGGGAATTCACCTTTTTCTGTTTGAGAACCTTAAGACTCTGATTTATAGGAGCTAAAGCTCAAAATGGCTATTGTACACTAATGCACATTAAAGGTTATGGCTTGAAGACAACAGGACATTGTAACCCACAAAAAGCAAAGTCCCAGCAGTTCCCAAATAAGACATACTCCTCTTTACTCTTAAACCTTGAACTCCAGTTGATGAAAACCACCAGCAGGTTAAGGACTGTGAAGCCGTCCTCACCATGACAAAACTTAACTAAGTTTAAGTCTTTCACAATGCCTATTCCTGACTGGGGACATTTCTGAGGATGGATGACTGAAATCCACTCATAACACAAACACACTTTGCACACACACACTTGCACACAGGTGAGAGCAGACAGACATTCGGGGTTACAGTTATCTCAACACTCCACCACTGTCAAGTACTTTATTCACAATAAGGTCATTTTCTTCTTTAAAAAATCATTTTAATATACAACACAATTTTTGACAAGACAACTCCGTTTACAGCTAAATTTTGAGTTCTTGAATTCCAGCTTCTCTCATTACCAAAGCAAGCACTTAGGATGATGGGAGAGAGAAAGATGGCGTGAGGAGGACAGAAAACCACAGTGGGGAGCGGGTGTAGGTAGAAAGAATGACGAGAAGGGCAGGGAAAGAGTGGCAGGAGAAAGGACTATGCTTAGTATGATTTTCTTTGTACTAAGAACCAAAATACTCAAATGAAGTTAGAAAATAACAGTAATAAAAAACAGTAAGAAAGTAAGAATTAAAGAGGAAAAAAAAAAGCAGAGGTGTACCAGGATGCTGTATCCAAGGCAACCTCACATGCATGTCTGACGCTTCTGCTCTGTTCTGCCATTTTCACAAGTCCAAATACACAAAAACACACTCGTTCAGAGTGTGTGTGAGTGTGTGTGTGTGTGTGTGCCCCCTTATTCCAAACGAATGTGCACCTCGTGGGAGGGGCTGTGAAAGGGAGGCTAAGTGGTGGGGTACGGGGAGAGCGGGGTGCAGAGAGAAAGAGAGAGAGAGAGAGAGAGACGAGGAGCATAATTCTGTGAGAAGGCGCAGGGAAACCTTCTCCAACATTTCTCCCTCTTTCAGTCCCTCCATCTCCCATCCTTCCCTTCTTGCTTAAGAGCCGAGTAAAGAGTCTCTGTCTCCCGTATCACAGCTCCAGTCATCTTCTGTCCAACTGTGCCACTGTGTCTGCATTTGTCAGTGTAATATATAAATATATATCTATAAGCAATTCCGTATCTGTGGAAACCTGGTTTTGGCAGGGGTTAAAATCTGAGGAGCAGAAGCCGCTTTAAGTTTGCTTCAAGGGGACCAAAAAAGAAAAAAAAAAAAGAAAAAAAAAAAAAAAAAAAAAAAAAAACAGGAGCTTGTGACATTATGCCAGGTTGACGTTAATACTGTCATTAGTGTACTTTACAAAACATAAATTAGTAGCAGAAGATGAACTTCTTGGGAGAGCTGTGTTGGTTCTGCAGTAGGGAATCCTCATTGATGTTGGGCTGTATGTAGGTTGCTGAACTGGCAGGCAATGAGCACAAGCTTAAGAGTCTGTCAGAACGGGGCTGAGTGGGAGATGGACAGAGAGATGACAAGGAGGAAGGAAAAAAAAAAAAAGAAAAAAAGATGCGCTCCTTTTCGCAACAGATGCACCCATCAGCCAATCAGCCCTGGATTTCCTCCTATAAAGGGTGAGATGCATTGCGCCACCTATAGAAAGAAGCACAAATAAAGGGATGCTTGTGAACACAGAAGTGCATCAGGAGAAATGAGAATATCATTGAAAAAAGTTCATGAAATTAAAGACAACATATTTCACAACTTTATTCAAACGTTAATTGGGATGATGAGGCTTTTAGCAAATGAAAACCCACAAGATGGGAGTTACAGGGACAAGCTACCTTCTTGGGTCAATGGACGGATGTAGAGATGATGTATCATTTGTACAACCAGCCAAAAGCAGAATTTACAACCATGAACAAGATGCAGAAATCCTTTCTGACAAGAAGAGTAAGGAGGCAAGACCAGCGCTCCATTTAAATTTGGAGCGCTGGTCAGCCAACAACAGGATTACTACAGAGTTCATCCCCCGAGATGCAGAGACTCTCAATGCAGATTTTATGCTCAGTGTTGACTTTCAATGCTGAATAACGCATCCCGTCATGCTGGCTCATATTTAAAAAATAACAGATGTGTGGGATAACAATGTATCCACTTATGATTAATGAATGGCTAGAGAGATCTCAAAGATGGCTCATTTTCATGGGTTTATGACGGAAATGTTTTGTGAAAAAAAGTTACAGCATCAATGCTATGTGAAACCCAGGTTGCTTTAAAAGTGACTGTAATTTCATTTCCAATTCTGGATCTGGTGTTCCTCAAAGCCACCAGCGTTCAAGCCAACCACAGTGACACCACTGCGAACAGACCAGATGGGCCTATCGCAAGGCGTGTACAAGTTGTCGTCCATGCTCTGGACACATCTGGGTGTAGTTGAAATCTTTTTGAATGGACTTTGCTTCACAATCCTCTAAAGGTTGCTTCAATTCCTTCTGTTCGTGGACAGTCTTTCCTTCCTCTCAAATTCCCATTGCTTTTCTTACAATACATTGTTCTGAATAGTCAACTTCTTTAGCAATTACTTTTTCTGGCTTATCCTCCTTGTGGAAGGTGACAGATTTTTTTATTTATTATTATTATTTAATCTACATTTTCATTAACTGTAAGCCAAGAATATTATAACTGACTAATTTAAGTTGGCACTTTGTCACTTTGTGAGTAATAAGGATATAGGAAAAAACATTTGATTTTCTTAAAACTGAAAAAGATTTTAATAACCTAATTTATTGACACAGTAAACTAACGACGTGAGAGGGGACATTGAACAGTGATGCTTTCAGGATACCTGCTATCTAGAAATGTACGTGTAGGTACGGGATGGAGATCGTCCCTCTGACTGGCCATTAGGTGAAACGTTCAGAAAATCCCAGATCAGAATGGTGTCGTCGTGAGAACTGCTGATGATCTGAAACTCATCGAACTGCAGGCGGAAAACACGGCCAGAGTGCTCCTGCGGATAAACGAGGTGCGAGAACCATTAGAGCGACAGCTAACAGGGAGGACATTTCTGCTTTTTTTCTCTACTTCTACAAGTTTTATATAAACAAGTTTTACATGAGACCATAATATCATTTTTCTGGGTGATTATAATAAATAAAATCATTTTAAACCAGTCCTTAAAAGTGGGATATTACAACTTAGCTTGGTGGCATGTGTAAACTACTATTTAGAAAGCAATGCCAAACAAATTTTTTAATGTAAAAAACCCCAAATAATTAAAAATTAAACTTAACTTTATGTTGAAGATGCATTTAAAGTCTTGCCTTTTGGCTCCATTCATTAGGCTATTAGTTTAGAAAGTAACTTTAAAAAAAACAAACAAAAAAGCACTGATTGGAACAGCTCACCACTAGAGTGCGCAGACATAATGTGCTAGCAGGGGCTCGTGGGTCAAGTGCTGCCTGAAGGTCCCACACTTTTATTTTGCTGTAAAAACAATATATACAAAATGTCAGCAAACAATTCTAGTTTCAGCTAAAAAAAAAAGAAAAAAGTTTTGATAAAACCTCACCCATCGTAGGCTCCGCTGACAATCCTTTTGTTGTCGAAGCGAATGCAGCGCACCAACTCCTCGTGACCTTCCAGCACTCGCAAACATGCCCCGCACTCGATGTCCCATAACCTGCAGAAAGAGAAGCCAATATTAACTTTAACAGCTTCCATTAAAACGGCTCAGATATGAAAGAATGACGCTTAAAAGTAAAGCTCATCATTTAAATAATAAGCTTTAAGTTGCTCTTCTGATGTTGTCCGCGTTCAGATTGGAATGCTCAGGCAATCTGTTTGTTCTAATATAAACAATAAAACAATACCCAAACCGCAGAAGTATAAATATGATCTTAAATTACTTCAGCTCTCATTGTATTTAAAATGTTAGGACTTTCTAAAGAGACGTTTTCTGATTTAGATCATCTATCCGTCTTTTTATCGCTCCCTATATATGCTTGGATGACCTTTACAAGAACTAGTTTCAAACTTCAATCAAATTCTACAAATCTGAGAAACATAACGCCAAAGTTGGTCTCCAGTTCAGCATTGTGGTAAATGGCTACTGAATCAACAAAGGAGAGCTACATTTCAATTTGATGAATTTTAACTCAAAACTGGATCAGTTTCTCCACACAAACTACAAATTGCTTATTGAAGCAAAGTTTGTGATTTTGACTACTTTTACCGTTATTTTTAAGAAAAGCTACCTTCCTTTGAATCAGCTATTTAAAATACAAAAACGATCTACAGAGTGAAGAAAAAAAAAAAAACTGTGAAATGGCCCTTTTCTAATTTATAAATGAGGGTGCATTTGTGAATGCACATTAATATTTTAGCTGATCAAGTATGTCACAATCTTATAAAAGGCATAATTCTGAGGATTTTTATTTTATTTTTTTGTATTGCAAATCAGATCAAAAAGATTTCTCACATTAGCCAATTTGACAACTACTGCAAACAAAATAAGTCAATTTCAGACAGCAGAGCTGGATTGCCAGTCATACCGGATTGTGTTGTCAGATGAGCCGCTGACTACCAGACGATCTCTATACTGTAAACAGGCAATCCCCCGCTTGTGACCATTTAGAGTGCGCACAAACTCACAGGTGCTGGTGCTCCACACCTACGTTGGACAAAAAGCATTTTAAATTTATGAGCAGTAATGAAAGCATGGAAGCACTGAAACCAAATGAAAGCATCAACAAAACTTAAGATTTTAAGACATCAAAATAAGTAATTTGATTAGCCCACCTTAATGGTGCGGTCCCCTGAGGCGGACACAATATATTTATCATCGAAGTCAACGACATTGACAGCAGCACGATGTCCAACAAGGACGCGCCGCAGGCTGATGTCAGTAGGCGAGGCCATGTCCCACACTGCAATCGAGCGGTCCTTGGAGCAGGTGACCATGAGACCATTTGCGAATCGCAGGTGAAGAACAGCCTCGTTGTGATGGATCAGCGTGTTCAGTACCTCACCCGTCGTGACTTCCCAAACCCTGCAGAGACGTACAGAGAGACAGGCAGAAGGTGGTAAATAGACAGAGAAATACAAAAAAAATCTGAAGATCCTTCCTCAGACAGTTGTTTTTTATTTATTTAGTTTTCTAACTGATGATGTCCAAATCTTCCTCAGGACCAAGACTGAAGCTTATTACATCAATTCCTGCCATTAAAAACGAATTTCGTCCCATTTTGGTTTTGGCTTTTTTGCACTTCATGAGGAAACTTGCACCTGGCAGGTGTACAGCTGATGGTTTAATAAAAAAGTTTCTATATTTTAGTCCAATTTTACAGCAAGAAGCATTTTTTATGCCTGAGATAAACAACCTGCAGCAGTAGGAGGTTTCCTAGAGTACCCAAAAACTACAAAAGTTTTTGTTATATCTGATGATGGCTTTTATGAGAGGCAGAGCTGGATGGAATCAGAAAAATACTGCAATGACTGTCAATTAGAATTAACCCACATTTCCCCCATCTGTATCTTTCTAACAGTATGGCAAACCCACCACTCTCCCTGAGCTGAAAAAATTAACAAAGATTAATATCAATATCAGGCCATATTATTGGTCCATCTAAGTGGTCCATTATTTCTGAATGTAAAGCTTTACTGCACAGTACATGAAATAAAACCTGAAAAAAAAATTTGCATTTACACAATAAATGGAAGGGTTATATTGCACCAATGACATTGTGATGGCGACTGGTAATATTAATCAGGGGTTATAATCAGTCCTATTTCACAAGAGAAAAGAAATATGAATAGAGATCAGAAGCTAATTAAATGGAAATAAGATGTACAAAATCTTCAAAAACTATAAATAAAAGTATAAAATTAAAATGGAATGAATTGGGAAAATGGGTCCAAAAATGGTTTCTTCAAGGGTACGGACAAGAAATGTAAGAAACGGGGATATGACCTGCCAAACTGATCCAGAGCAAAATAATAGTAATAATAAAAACCTAGGAAATGTTACACAGTATGTCCATGAATCTGTGGGTTTTATTCCAACAGCATGCATTCCTTGTTTATCAAGTCTGGCAGCATTTATTTTTCTTAAATAGTAAGTAAAAGGAGGACAAAAGCAAAAAAGTAAAGAAGTTCTTCCCAGTGTGGTTTTCCAGACATTGAAAACCCAATTCAAACATTCAATAAGAGACCAGAGATAGTTTATTGAAAACTGTTGTCTTCTGGTTGACATGTTTTCTTTTCCTAGGAATAGTTTGTGAAGATATCCATACTACTTGACAATGGCAAGTAGTGTGGCTAGTCTTGTTTTGAAAGGCAAGCTAACGACATGACTGCCACCTAATGTTAGCAGCAACACATTACAACCAAATACCTTTAAAGACCAATTTTATTAGAAAATCTGAAAATGAGTGGTCACCTCTAAATGACAGGATAAAATGGAACAGGACAAGACAGAAAACAAGGATATGAGAGTGAAAAGATGTGAAAAAGTTTAAAAGGGAAGAAATAAGAATAATGGGAGCAGGATTGAGAATGAAAGAAAAAAGATGAGACAGCAGGAAAGAAGGTTGGAAAAAAGAAGAAAACATGCAACAGGAAGACATGAAATAGAAAAACTAAAATGGAGATGTGTGTGAAAGAACCCCGTTTACTGTTTCTACCAAGCAGAGAAGCGATGATACTAAACTGCAAAGAGTTTGCATGTGTGAACCCACAGCTGCTTGTTCCTAAACTGCACCGCTGGGCACTGAGAATCAAATGCAAAACACATTGGAAAACCTGACAACTAAACCTCCAAACAAAGTGCCCGTCAAGCTATTGCTAAGGAAGTGAGGTCATATTTTCCTTGGATATTATCCAGCAGGCACGGCTGAAGTGTGAAGTAACAAGAATTAAAATTGAGCTTCTGTGTGCAGTAGCCAAGCATATGGCAACATAAAAACCCACACCAAGCCATTTTTGTGTATGCAGTGAAACATACACAAAAATCTTTAGCAACAGCTTTGAATGAGAAAACTTTAATATTCATATCCAGTTTCTTCTCAATGTGGTTATTGCCAAGTTGTGTGTTAACAATTAGGAGTAAACGAACAGCTTCCTAATACATCCAATTTTGGGGAAAATTATACCCTCATAAAAAAGCTATACATTATTGCGTTTTTTTTGTAATTTAACTACACTTTCCATTTGACTCTGTAGAAAGACTTCAGTAAATAATTTCCATGCAAATTTGTCATGCCTCTGCTCGCACAGCAGAAAAGATTCCCATTTGTGGCTTTCCAACAGCATTTGGTCTTTAAATGCTGTTGTCATACTTGCATCAACCACAAACATCCTGTCATCTAAACTGCTAACAGCTTACCATTCTGCACACTGTGGACTTTCAATTTGTTTTATAATTTCTAGAAGACAGGTTTGGATTGTATCCAGATGTACATTTATACAATTGTTAAAAAGTTGTCATAAAAATGGGTTAGAAACAAAAAAAAAAAAAAAGCAAAAATGCAAGTTTATCTGATTAATATACTGAGCTTTGCTACAAGAACAGGCTTCAAAAAAGGGCACAAAAAACATTTGAGTATTCAAATGAGGTATTGCATATTTGACAGAATGGGTTGTTTAGAGAACATGGTCCTATGATTTCCTTGATCCAGAACATGGGAGCAAATCAGTCAATTTGAGAGGAATTCAATGCATAAGATGCAATAACGTTGAATAAGGTCTAACGACGAAGGGGTTTACAAATATATATATAATTGCAGCTTTGCATTAATGCAGTGAAAGTCTGACCCCATCAACCACTGGGGGCTCCTGATGTCTGATGTGATGCTCTACATTCAGCAATGTGGGAGAGTCCTGAGCTCAGCGACGCCCGCTGCTGTAGCATTAGTCATCAACTATTACGTCGTTTAAAGCAGCACAACAAGTTTATGAAGCAGGAAACAAGAAACATAAAAAGTAAATAGGTTTGCAAATAAATAACTGGACCTGCCAAAATAAACATTCTAAAGCTGATTTGTCAACTAAATGATTTCCTTAAAAAATTACAAAAATAAATACATTTAAAACAAAACTGGCCGGTAAAGTTTAAACACCTTTATAAAAAACAAATACCTATTAAACATATTAACAATTTTTTTTTTCAACTTTCAGCTGTTAAAAGACTAATTAAAAATATTTTTGGGGAAAATCGTATAAAGCATTTCATGGTCAGTGTGTAATAAACCGTCTCATCCTATTAGGATGTTGCATTTAGCAAGTTTGGAGGTAAAGTGAACCCCAAACACGCTTCTGTAATTCCCAAGCAGGTTTTTTGTAGTCTTGCTGAGGGAGGAATGCTGCCATGTGAGGGTGATTACTCAGCACAAATTTCAGCTCAGTGACAATTGTCTAATTTTAGTGGCAACACCAGGATGACATTATTTTAGATGATCAATTGTCCTAATGTTATGATGGATCAGTGTATAGAAAAGTGATAGGGTGTGTCTACAAAGTTAATAGAGTTGCTCTTAAGAGAGAAAAAAAACTAATCGTTTTCAGGGTAATGACTGATATGAATTACACAACCAAATTGCCTTTGTTTTTATGTCACTGAGTTATAAGTTTTAATACAAATTTGTAAAACAAAGAAATGTAGAAAGACAAAAATCCAAATGATCATAAATACATAGTTCTTACAGACCTTTCACTACATACAAATATCCACCAAAGTCTTTGTTTTCAGTATCAAAAGCATTTTATAAAAATTTTATACAGCATCAAGACAATCTATACAAATGCAGAAGATTAAAGTTCTTTCAATAAGATGCCAAAAATACTCTGGAGAAAAGAGAATTTTGTCAAGCAAAGTTGCTGCATATCCCTCCTGACACATTTCTGCTTACTGCTAATTATTCTTACCTTTTGTCACTTATTTGTCTTTCCAAAAGAACAAATTATGGTGTTTGAAAGCTTGCGGCATTCAAACTAAATAAGTGTGAGACATCTTTCTGTTACGACAACATTCTTTTGAAATTAAATGTTTGGAGAGTGGCGTTTTTAGAAAGAACGTAGGCGGGCTCCCCGAGCTGATAACCTGACCAACCAACTCAAACAAGAACACATCGACAAAGAGCGATAATATTCTGTGCAATGAGGACAGTTTTTATGAACTGCAACAAAATTTAACTGGCATTTGTGGAAAAAAGAAACTATTTTAAAGACTCCCACTGATTTATTTTAAACTCTCTGTTTGTGGCTGCAGTGGAGTTTAATCCTTGACTTTTAAAACTACCCGTAGATGAAAGAAGCTGTTTTCAAAATAAATGTCATGAGTACAAGAAAAGCGACTGATTCTTCAAGCAGCAACTGTTAACACACTCACTTGTGTTTTCTCACTTTCCATAAATAAGTGTTTATCTGTGTATCAATATATGAATGACACTGTACTTCAGTTACATTACCCACTAATGTTACAATTCTTAGTTCAAAGTCTTTGTCTTTTAGTGCGACAATAATATTCAGTCCAATGCTTACTCTCCAATCAGAATCAAAAATACATGCTGCTCTTGCGGCAGTGATAAGTTTGTCATACCTGACAGTCGAATCAGAAGACCCAGTGACGATGACTCTCTCATCATACTGGAGACACAATACTGAGCCTGTGTGGCCGGTCAGTACCTTCAGACATTCCAGTGTTTGTTTATCCCAGATCTGCGAAAGAAAAGGAAGAGAATGAAGAAGATGAGTGTGTGAAGGGGAGATTCTGGCAGCGAAGGACACTGTGAAAGAGAAAGAATATGTGGTTTTGCAAACGGTGCAGATTTGGGTCACACCAAGAATGGCCTGTTCTTGAAGCCATGTCCTTTCACCGTTTATGCTCCATTTCTCTACTGCTCTGCATGCAAATCAGAGCCATCAGGGTCTTCAAAGCCATGTGTCAGCCTCCTCCATAAAATTTAAGACACTTCTCGCCTCCCACTATTAACCCCTTGTCGTCTCTTGGCTGAGGACAACACTAGAGCCGAATCCTTTTATCCCATAATTCACTGGTGCCTGGTCTAAGTACCTAGTGTTTCAGCTAGGCACCACAGAGAAGAAGAAGGTAAGCTACTCTGCCCCAGAACAACATTTCATTTCTAAATACATAAACACTGGCTTGACTAAATCAACTGTGCTGAGAATGCTGAACTGCTTTGGGCAACACATTTGGTTCTCCTTTGCTGGTGGTACCAAACAAAGCCATTGGGATCAATGTTAATTACTTCAACGTGTCCATGTGGACCAGTGAGGCAGACAGAAACATGTCAACAATGTGTTTAACTGTCTCAGTTCAAAAAAACGGGTTGGGAAGCCTACAATTACTCTGTAAAACTATACAAGTTAAGTGTAGTGCTGAACTTTAGCTGCAGATGCACTTTAATTTCCCTACTGAGGGACAAACATTTACTCTATTTCTGACCAGCTGGCCTTATATTGGAAAGATGAATGGAATTAGAGATTAGGGACCACAGCTTCCTGTGAATGGTTAAAATCTGTAAGACCCCCTCTAAAAGCAGTTATAGCTGCTTATTTTAACAGTTCAAACATAAAACGAAACTTAACATGCGTCAACACGCACAGTGAAAACTTCCTTAGCACTGCCGCAGAAGTTAAAATATACAGTCTTCCTTAACTCTACTCTTGGGGGTTCAGCCAATGAGTATCAAGGAAAATGCACAGCAGTCCTGGTTTAGGTGCTTTGCAAACACCAATCAGGAACATGTCAAGTAGAGTTACACCTCTCAGTTTCCTGAACTAGATTTTCTTTCAAATGTTCCAGATGTGTGCTATGAAAATAATTCACGTATATTAGAAAGATGAATGAAATTAGAGATTAGGCACCACTGTACTCGCTACTCAACTGAGCAATGAGTACATATAATATTAAGTTACATTCCATAGAAAAATCTGCAAATTCGAGAATAAACAAAATGTATTGTATACTTTGGCTACATAAATATTAGTCAAAGTATGAAACTTAATGTCATCTTTGAAAAACCATATGCGGACAATCATTTTTTCTTCCCTTGAGCAACTTAAATGTGGTTCCATTTGTGATCTGAATTATGAATTATGTGGCATTCATATCAATATGTGTTTAAAAAAAATAAAGGGAAACGGCTGGGGGAATAGTTATGCAAACTGACATACCTTGATGGAGTTGTCCCTAAGGCCACTGATGATCTTCTCATCATCGTACTGGAGACAATAAACACCTTTACTGTTTTCTGAGCGACACTGAATCCTTTGCAAGTTGTGTCTGCCACATCGCCAATTAGCCTCAATTGTCTACAAAGAGGAAGGAAACAAAATAAACATTCATGAAATGAAAAAAGACAAAAAAAATACCCAGGTATTATCACTAAACTATCAAGAAAGTTAATTCCTGGAATGTGAAAGTCGTTACTTTTAACAATTTAGTTTAGCATCAATATTAAAATATGTGCTTAAGTCATAAAGAATAAGTAATCACAAGAAAGGCAGATAATAACTAGAACCACGTTTTGTTAACTGTCAAGCAAAAAATATTTATGTTCAATAATAAGCAGTCTCTGACACGAGTAACTTATTCTGATGTACGCAACTTTTGATCTTCTGATTTATGCTATATTTAACTTGGAACATTTGGTCTTTCTTGGCTGTAAGCTCTGCCAGCAAACTGAAAAGAGCAAGAAACATGAATTGCTCTCAATACATTGCACACCAGCCAAGGTGAAGTCTTACTAGACAAAATTTACTTCGTGTAGATAACAGTTGCACAAGCTCCACAAAAGTATTTGTGGGGAGCCTCTATTACTCAACTGAGCAGTGAGTACAGATCAGAAGCCAGAGCAGTCTTACTACAGAATCTCATAGATGGTTACAAAAAAGGGTTATATCTAAAAACCCTAAATCAAAAATATGGTGATATTGCAATAAATAACTCCAATAAACTCCCCAAACAGAAATAAAAAATTAATGCAAGTAAATTATGTACATTTAAAATTAACAATTAAATGTGTTGTTTTTCATTCCTCTGGACACCATTAATATAAAAAAGCCATTTTTTTAGTGAAGGTGGATAAAATGTCATAAGCACAAAAAGAAACAGCATTTTACCATTTTAAATTGAAACTAAACTAATAAATAATCTTTTAAAATAATAAGTTAAACGATGCCTTACCTCTATGTCTTGAATGATCTTAGGATAAAGCGAGTGATAGTAGGAGTTGGGCGGGATTTCTGATGTGCGGTTCTTGAACAAATATTTCTCCCTGGGGTGTGAAAAAAAATATACAATATAAGAAAGGCAAATACTGTTTTTAGTGGAATTTATGTTACCTTTAAAAAACTGAAGACAAGGATAAATAGTATACTACAGTAGTCTTGATGTTTCTTTTCCCTTACTCTATTGAAGATACAAAACTAACAACTAACATCCTTTTTGCTATAAAGATGGTTTTGCTTTTATCCTCACCACTGGTGTCTTTCAGACAGGCCTTTCCAAAGCGGGTCGGTCCGGACCATTCGCTCAATGAGCTTCTTCCACAGCATGCCCTCAGAAATTACCCTCTGCCACTCTTTACATACCAGCTCTGCAGCGCAAAGCGAACGTGCATCCAGAAAAGACAGGATGTTCTCTGCAATGTGATCCAAGCCTTGGGCTGGAGAGAGGGAACAGAGGTGAGTGTGAACAAGCCAAGGCAGCAAATTAATACAATTCTCTCAAGTCAATTTTTGTTTGCCAACGGCTGCGTTTTTTTCCTTTTTTTCAGCAGTTCTGCAAATGCATTGCGTAATTTTGCAGCACAAGCTTACAATGTTGTTATTTCCTGTTAAAAAGCTTTCAATTCATTTGATTTATAACTCTAGTGACAGTGTAGAGAACACCATGCTTATTAAAAGTTGTAACCGTGTTGCATTATTGCACATTTGCACCTGGCAATGCAGTGATGAAATCCCTCTGCAGCATGGGTTTGAGGTAGGAGTTGATGTGGCCGTGCTGGTAGTGGCACATACGGGATATCAGCCGCTCGACAAACTCCACTTGGTCAGCCTCTGACCACTGGTCGAACAAGGCGATGCAGTGTTCCTTCTCCTTCTCATAGTTCCCTTCTGACGGACGCTTGCGAGACCCTATTACAGGACCGTTAGTAAGCTGAAAAACAATAGGAAAAGCTGATTAGTGAAATGTCCCCCGTTGATTTTGATTAGCTTTATAGCATTTTCGTAAGAGTTCAAATACATACAATTTATGTAAAAAGAGATGAATCTGGTATACGTGAGAACTTGGCTTTTTGTTTTTAGTTTCAAACAGTGTTATGTTATCAGTGAAACAGAGTAAATCCTATCCATCTAATGATACCAAGATCCTGATGCCAAATGAGCTAATTTGAACTGGACTCCATCTATTGACACAAGGTTTCTTCAAGTCAGAAAAAATTATATTTAGGAAGTGGCTTTTTAAAATTATAATTTTTCTTCAACACTTGCAAGAATTACAAAAATTAACCTAAGGAACGTTTCCACTAAAACTTTTTCCAAGTCATTTCCTGTGGCGTACTTTTACCCCCCTTGAGGTCAAACAGCATGCACCAGTGCAAAAACGCAGTAACGGGGTCAAATTTTAGGCCCAGACAGAAAAATAGCATTTTTCTATTACCCCAAGCCTTCGGTATGTACTTGGGCGGAACATTATATTTTAGCGATTTTTGTTTAAAACTCCATAACAGTATAACATTTCTGTTAACTTCAACTAAAATCTCACAAAGTGTTTTGACACCAATGCAGGTGTTTTCCTTAAATTCAAAAGCAATCGCAGAAGCTCCATTTTCTTTTCCTGACAGTATCATCACACAATAAAAAAAAAAAACTCCAAATGCCACATATTCATTTTTTATTGGGGTTTTACAAAAATGGTATGTTTTATCCAAAATTTAGATTTTATATTAGGTTATTTCCAGACACACCTTCACCATTGTAGTCTTCTTTGGCGACAGGTCGTCCACTAAGGTCTGTGACTCCATCCCTGACGTGGTCTGTAGAAAAAAAAGAGACAAAAAACACAAATAAGGCAAAGCTTAGTGAAGCCCTTTATTACAGTCTGTAAAAGCAACTTTAGGCGTTCAGGAAGGCAGCAGTGTGGACAGAGCTTTGAAAAAGAAGTGTAACAAATGCAACCAAGAACAGACAGGTTACCGCTGAGATTTCGGATAAGTTAACGCAACAAACAGCCGTGCCTACACACACACACACGAAGTGAAACAAACAAAGAGTCTAAAACAAAAGAAATCTGTTTGCTTGTCTGTGACGTGGGCTAAGTAGTCTGGGCAGGAAATTAAATCGCAAAATTATGAGTATGTCACTGGCACCAACTCAGGCATGGCAGCAGAGAAGGACGAAAGTAGGACAAATAAAAGATCCTAACCATTTCAAGCAAGGATTCTGACTAATATGTATTAATTATTATTCAGTTATATCATTTACAATGAAAAACAGTTTATTTACCAAATCATCACCAACAGAAGCGTGAGAAGCTCCTTTAAGGTAAACATTTATTATGTAAGATTGTTTTAGCTCACATGGACTTCACACATTGTTATGCAACAATCACCAATTTATAAAATTACTTTCATCATAACTTGTATGATGACAAAGTCCAGCTGCATTCTGGGCAAGGATGGGCGTTAGGCACTTCAAATTTTATTATAATAATTAGTATTTATTGCAATGACGTTAAAGTGACAATATAAAGTACTGACAAAATTGTCCTAGCCTTTATGGCATAAGTTGATTGCGCATACTGTCAAAGCAAAAACAGAGGACTTCAAACAGCAACCATTATAAAAATGGGTAATGCATGTAAAGAGTTACATTTAGTTGTGTGACTACAAGTAATGGCATTGAAACATATTTTTGAAAGACAGTTATATGGAATATCATGGAACAAATAGCGGAAAATTAAAAATTAAAAAGTCAAACTATTGCGATATTAAGACATACTTTTAAATACTGATCAACTTTGTGTTTGCAACATATCACAAATTTTTGCTGACACGTTTGCATGTGTCCAAAGTTCCCAAATCTTGATGTTTGGTTAGGTTATCCGTTTAAAAACAGTCCAAATTGCATGTGCAGTAGTAAAATGTTCAACAAACGCTGGTGCGATCGTGCTGGTTCTTTTCAATTAGCAGAACATTTAACAGAACAGAGTGAGCAGAAAACTAAATGACATAGTTCAACAGTCATATTCTTGCTGAAATAAAAATGACTCACACAAATGCTTTACCTTGAAAAGAATCATTACTATTCTTTGTGCTTACTATTCTTGTGGTGAGTCAGAGCCACACCACAAAAATGGCTATTGGAGGAAAAAGAAAAGTAAGCAAAAAAACAATGAGGTTGTAATAAAATGACAGTTAGTGCTCGTGTTGCAAAACTGAAGTGATCATCAGTATTCTGGTTTATAAGTGCTGGAACAGTTAAATAATGTGCCCCTTCTGATGAGATGCACCGAAAAGAACAGTCTGTTATACAAAATTGGGCAATTTTGGCTTGATTGGTCCTGTCCAGTGACCAGCAGAAAAGAAACTGGAAATGATTAATAAAATCACCATACTGGGTCATGCTGATACAAACACTCTACGTCTACCGAAACAGAACATGACGTACTGAGGGAAGAGTGAAGTGTTACAGAATGAAGCGAGCGGAAACACACAAGGTGTAAGAAGCTATTTAAAAGGAAACTGTGCTTTGATGACATCAAGATGCTTGTGGTTTATTGAAGATGCAGAAAAGCGAAACTTAAAGCAGGACAAAAAGTTTTTTAGCCTTTTGTGCTTTTGTTAGTTTTTATAAATTCTAAAATATATTTAGTTAGCTGATAATACAAGATTTTAAAACTAAAAAATTGTGACATTCGCAATACCAACAATGCTCACAGGAGGAAGCAGAGGAAGTGAAAGTGGTTTTTAATATAAATTCATAGAGAAACCAAAATATTGACAAATATTTACAAAACCATATATTCAAAATTGGTCACAATTCTGTTCGGTGCAACTTTATAACTTGTTTTTACTAATCTTTGTGTGAAAAAAAAAGTTTAAAAACCTGAATTGGTATGTTTTTGGTATTTTTTGGACAACCTCAAACCCTTACATTTACCAAAGCAGACAGGAGACACGACTGAGATGGTCATGCAGAGCAGAAGATAAGGAAGAACAAATCAAAAACTGACCAGGTTATGGTAGGCAGGCAGGCAAGCAAGCATGTAGCCTGTCAGAGCTTTAAGGAGCCCCCCCCACCTCGACCCTCACACCTCCATGTAGGAGAGAAACTATTACTCCTCAATGCAAGGTTATTCTCTGGTGGCCATGGGAGTACTTTCTCGATTTTCTTTGAAGTACTTTAATATTTTGAGAATATCCAGCTTATCTAATATCTAGTTTTATAACAAGCAGCTTTGTTTCTTGGCAAAAATTGGGCTACTAGCAAGAGCGAGACAAAGGAACCAGAGAAGAACCCAAAAGCTGAGCAGGGGAAAAGGAGAAGAGAAGGTTGGGTGGTAATGTGGACTGTGAGTGGGTGCTGTCTGTCTGGACAAGGTTGGCATGAGCAGTCATGTGGAGAGGTCAAAGGAAAAACTGAAAGAATGAAGAGATGGCGAGGGAGGAAGGGAGATAGGGGGGAGTAGCAGAATTAAGAGGAGAGAGGCAGAACCTGGTTGTGAGCCCGGGTGGAGGGGATGCTCTGCAGGCACCTGAGTGCACACAAACTCTCAGCCACCGAGGAGCAGCCCAGCCAGAGAGAGCGAGGCACAGAGCACTGTGTGAAAGAGAGAGAGGAAGGGAGGAAGGGAAGAGGAGAACGAAGTGGACAGGGTGAGGGAGGAAGAGAAAAAGAAGAGCAGGAAACCAGAGATGGGTCGTAAAGAAAACAGAAGAGGAAGGATGATGAGAGTTGATTGAAGGAAGCCAAATAATTTTAGTGAATGGGTAAGTCAATGGATGAACAGATGGGTGAAGTGGTGAAGTTGGTGAACAACAGGACAAGTGAATTATGGTTTCAGTGCAAGAATATAAAACCAATGGGTAAATAAATAGGGTTTGGTTTGAAATTGAGAGAGGGCGAGTGTTTAACCATCAAAGGTGAGGAGAGAAAAAGGGGAAGAGGTGGGGGGATAGTGAAGGGAAAAACCAGTATTAGAGCTACACACACATTTGGCACAGTGAGCGTAGGAACACACACTCATTCACACCAAAGATACAGACTGGTAAACACACGCACAAACCAAAGCATTAATAGACATGAATAAGGTGGAGATAGGTAGAGGAGAGGGAGGGGCAACGGGATTAATTGTAGAATATTTTCATTTTGACAGAAACCCCACCCACTGTTCTGCCATCCCCACTCTCATGAGTGGCTAGTGGATTAGTGGATAACACCGGGACAGACAAACAAATAAATGAATATAATCAAACCAATCACAACGACACAAACTAGGCAGGATTCAAAATTAGTAACAGGCCTTAAAATCTTCTGTCTGCTTAACCTACAGAGTTTTTCAGTTCCATGTGTAAATTTCTTGATACCTAATTTAAGAAAATAAGGAAGTGGAAGATCAAAGTCTATAAGCAACAGATGTGAATAAGAGCTTAACAAGCTATTCTTTCTACATCTACAGGTTTAGAACATTTGTAGTTTTATGTATTAGACCTTGTCACATGGTTCTTGAAATGTCACAATTACGAGTAGAGAGCACAGAAACTAGTTTATGACTCAATACTTCTATTAATCAAGTTCACGCGAAATTTGCTAAATTATATTTCTCTGAACTCGGGAGGGAAAGCTTCTCTGTTTTGGTAAAAGGCAACAAAACAGCTCTCGAATATTTACTAAGCAATCCATTATTATTAAAAAAAATAATAATATAATTTGAGATATTAGGCTAAGTGCGGCAGGTTTGGATTTTATTACAAGAGGAACCGAGTAGTTCGGTATTTCTAATATGTAATATCTATCCAAAGAACTGTATATTAGTTATTTTATGTTACGTTTAATAAAAATAAAAACGTGCTTCTGAATTATAAAAAAGCTGATGCATTTTTTCTCCAATTACGGCCCCTGTAAATGTTAATCTTCGCTAACATTTGTTAAGCTAATATAGGCTAGCAACCTAGCTCACAGAGAAGGCTCATAAAAATGCATTAACGGTTACCTAAATATTACATTTTTCAAATAAAACGGATATTAAGGCAATAGCTTAAACAAATATTTGCCATAGCTACAAATATTCGCGTTTTAGTCTGGAGATATCTGTGAAGAACGCGAGGTATATTTAGCCCGCTAGCTCCGAAGCTAGGTGCTAATGCTCGCTGACAGTGGGAAAGCTATGTGAATGAAAAGGCAGTACACTTCCTTCTACGCACTTTAGAAATATAAACAGACGATGAGCATTTTGTTACGATAGTCGCTACCTGTAGTCGTGCTTTTCGTATATCTGGTTGATCGCCAAAAATGCTACAATGTGTGAAGTCTGACCAGAAACAACATAGTATAAAAGCGTTAGGCGTATATTGACGTGGTTCGTCGCCTCTTAGGCAGTGTTAGCCGGGTAGCTAGATAAGTATCAGACAGGGCCCTGTTAAAGTGGCGCAGCGTCACCGCAGTGAACACTACACCAAGAATTCTCACCAGTCTTCCGCCGACGACCAGTTATAAGCCCCACTACTTCGTCATTAGTTATAACCTCGTCTCAAAACAACACACATTTAATATGTTTTAAATGACCGCCCGAAGCTCTTGTTTGACCATCGGTGTGTTAAACATTCGTATCGAAATGTACCGATATGTTCAGGCCCTCCCTCTCTGATTTCTGGTCCCCCTCCTTTCTCCTCCACCTCTCTCGACAAGCCGCTTCAGTTCACTCCTGCCGTCGAATCGAGCCTCGGCGCCTTCACCAAACAAAAGCCTGACAGCTACCTTGTCGGATGTGTGGTGTGCTAACACTGAATTTGATCTTACCATCAGTTCCACCGTTTTGTCTTCCATCTCCGGCTCCATGTTGATGAACCCCCCCGAAAGTCGCTGTGAAAATGGAAACCCAGCCCTGCGTCGGCGGCCCGCAAATTCAGAGACGTCATTCGCTTCGCGCAACCACACTGCTTCGGTAGGGCAGTGTTAAAAGGGTGGGTGGGGGATGGGAACGCCCATCCATAAAGAAACACGCTGATTGGATGGATTTTGACTAAGGAGGTGTGGCCTAGCTGCTTAGCTTTTTATTTATTGGCTTACTGCGCTACTAAGGCTTTCCTCGGTGACTCCCCCAAACAAAAAGGCAAATGGATGAAGATACTGTTGCTATCCTGAAGAGGGGTACACCAAGGCAAAATCAATCATCCGCATTGTGTTGCTATGAAATGATGCAGAATGTTGGCCATTGAAACCAGTTGTATGTGACTTAAGGGATGTGTCAATACATCCCTTAATATACAGTGTTCAATATTGTTTGCAAATGCTTGGAAAGGTTTTGTTTCTTTGCTTTTTCATCAAAATTTCAATAAAACCATTAAGTTACAGCATGGTTCATGCTATAACTTAAGACGGCATAAAGCATTTTTCTTATATTCAGATAACACTAAATATAAGAAAATGGGACTACAATTGCACTAAGTTCGAAAATGTAACAGCTTTTCTTTAAAACGTACTTAATTATTTAATAATGCTGTCACTAAAACGTGTTAAACGCCCTTAAACTTTTTTTTAGGGATATTGGCTCAGAATCTTGAATGTATTATTTTAAGAAATGTTATTTCAGCCAATGGAAAAAAACAAGGCACAGGGATGATGAAAATATCAAATTAATTAGTTTTTTCCAGACATAAAGGGCAAAATGCAGAGTATTATAAAAGTTGAGTTATATATATATAAAATTAACAATAATCTCTCCATATATTCACAACTAATTATTGATAGCAATTTATCATTTAGCAATAAAAGGAGCTTACAGTCTTTTCACAAAATTTAGCTCTATTTAAAATAAATATCTGTATTACAGCAATATATTTAGATTGTCAATTTAGTCAAAAACAGTACATATTTTCATAATGCATTTAACCTGATAAGGACACTTGTGAAGTAAATTTGCATCAACAGATTTTACCAAATGGATATTGAAACGTGTTGGAGATTTGAGGTTACTTTTTTAGGCAAGTTTGAATGTATAAAGCCAACTTGCAACTGATCAAAATGTGCACACACTCAGCATGCATCTTTTAAATTTCACTGACACAGAACTGTCATGTACATTTCATTTCATGCAGACCACAGTGGGAATAAAATGAAGATTGTGGCGTCTTCAAAAACAATTCATACATGGCACAGGATCAAGACCAGAGCACAAGGAGGTCGAAGTGGTTTTCAGCAGTTCAAATTTAATACTTTGTCCCCCTTTCTCTACAGAAACCCAGGTAAAAAAAATCCCCCACTCTCATAAAATACAACAGCAGCAGTTACCAGTAAAAAAATGTAATGCAAAAAAAGAGAGAAAGCAAAGAGGGGAGGGAGAAAGAGAGTAGGAGGATGAGGAGACAAAAAAGGAAAATATATATTTTCTATATCTGAGGAGCGAGTCCAAAGTCCATCATCAGACCATGTAAGGGGACAAGAAGGAATCTGGGAACTTGCTGTTGTGTTTGTTCAAAACTGAGGGCAGATGGGGCCAAAAAAAAAAAAAAAAAAAAAAAGAATCAAAGTGAGTCAAGTCCAATCCAACTAGGGGAAGGAACCAGCACTCTAAGGCAGGGATTTATTTCAGGAAGGGCTTTCTCCCTCTCTGGATGAAAGAAACTCTCACTCCTCTTCAGCCTCTGTGATGCATTTTGTCGTGTACAGATGTATTTTGCAAGTTTGTGTATGCAACAGGTAAATCGGAAGATGCGTCTGTCATATATATGGTCAACACAGTAGCCCCTCTCACTTGCTGCAAGAGAGGTGGCATTTTTCTTTCCTTATTTCTTCATTCATTCCTTTCTTTTTTTTTCTCCCAATATCAGTCCAAGACTACCTAGTAGTCATCCAAATCAAAGAACTCGTCGTCCTCTCCTTGGTACTCCATGCCCTGGAAATCCACCCTGTACCGCAAGATACCTATGACACAAAAGTGAATGAGTAACTTCCAGAAAACGTTGTTTACTTTTGGTAGAATAACTGCTCCATAAAGAAAGATTTCCATAACTCAACAAATTAGGATCAAATTTGTTGAGCCATTATTCATAACAAACCAGATATTATCCTATAATTTGCAGCATACCTGGTTGTCAAATTTTTATAAGCTTTGTATTCACATGTAGGATTGAAGCATTGCTCTTCTAAATACCAAAAAACTTCCATCTTATTTGATCAAATATGGAAACTTCTACAGCTGCAAAGATGATTTATGTATTTTTCAAAAACTTGATGTTTTAAGTGAAGTTTATTTGCAACAAGTGTACTATTCCAGTCTGTTTAGTTTTACTAAAACCATCAGCATACTGACCCCCAATGCCTCCAAAGCCCTTGACAAATTGGGACCCTTCCTGACTTTTGTCTGTTACAATTTCCAGCGTTGCTCCAAACTTCTTGTAGTTGTTTGCGAACCACTCCAGCAGTGGCATACTCTCAATCAGCTCGTGCTCCTGCCCCGTCTTAAAAAAAAAGACAAAAAAGGAGGTGGGGAACTTTATCATTTGGAATTAGGTTTTAATTAATGCAGATGTTTGCAGTGCTCACCTCCTTGTCTGTAAAGTGTGACTTGTCTTTCTCTTGCTCAGGCGTCAAGTATAAAATCTTCTCATCTAATGAATGACGACATAAATATTAGAATTACATTGAAATAATAATCCCATGGCTAGACTAGGGTTAAAGGTACATTATAGGATAGTACCATTCTCTGCCCCGTTGCTCTCTGCCCCATGCACACGTAGAACATAACGCATTGTGTCCAAGTTCTCATACACTATAAGGATCTCCACCGCTCCCATTTCCAGGGCTTTCAGCGTGTCCTCCACTCCAAAGCAGTACTTCCCCGTATCCTGACTGATCTCATCAAAGTACCGCCCTGCAGAAAGAAGAAAATAACAAAACAAAAAAGAAAAAGACATCAAACAACTGGTGAATATCTATTTCTTGAAATGAGAACAAAACAATAAAGAAATCCTACCTATGAGTTTCTTCTCCTGGATGAACTTAACATTCGACAGGACTTCTGCCGACAGCTCGATAGCTTGGTTGAAACCGTTTTCTCCTCCATATGAGATGTCAACCAGCTTCAAAACCTTAGCCTGTAACCTCTGTGGTAAAATACATAGAAATGTGTTAAATATCTAAATAATTTTCTGGACTGAATTGAAATCTGATTGTTTTTAAATACTAAAAAATATGGCTTTTTAGTCTTTAATGTAATAAGTTCTATGAATGATGTATTTGGAAAGAAAAACACACTTACAGGGTCAAACATATCAGACTGGCTTAGTTCAGTCTTAAAATCTGCAGAGCCAGCCAAGACCATTCCTGCCACATTAACTTTGTCGTTGGAGACAAAGAGCTGGACAGCAGTCTCAGCAACTTTCCTCACGTAGTTATGTCTCTTTTCCATTCTTAGACGAGCAAAACGCAGAGCAGACTGGCCTCCTCTACCTGAAAGAGGGTGATAAAAAATATATATATTTTGAAACTCTGTAAAAGCAAGAGTAACAACATTAAACCAGAACAGGCCATTATTTAATAATCCGCACTGTCTTTAAAAAGAGAGAGAAGAAAAAGAACATCATTGTTATCATTGAGGTGGCGCACCGTGTTTCTTGGGTAGGTCCACAGTGAACTTGTGCAACACCTCCCGGGTGTTGCCCTGCAGCGTGCCAAATAGTGCCCCGCTACCGTCGATCACAATAAAGCCAAATTTGCTATCATCGGAGAGCAGGGCTGTCAATGCCTGAGAACAGCAAGAAAACAAACGTGTAACAATGTTGAACTCGTGAAAGATAAACACGTTCACACATGAAAAATGATCTCTAGAAGGAACATGAAGGAATGAATTTGAGTAAAATCTCTCACCTCGGTGTGGAATTTGTTATCACAGAGGTACAAAGAGGTGTTGATTGGTTTAAAAGGCTCAAAGTCGATATTGACTTTCTTCTCCTTGCCTTCCTCTGTCACAATTGTGCCACAATACACAACTAACCCATTTGGTGGCACTGACAAAAGAAGGAAGACATGCAGGTTAGATACACGTTAGGCTCCAATACTGATACACAGTGTCTTTTTTGGGGTAGGGCAGGGGCAGAAATTGACTATTGGTATAATACAGTATTTCGAGAGAATATGCAACTAAAATAAAAATAACAAATTGTGGGAAAAGAACTAGTGAAAATATAGTTCCTATCTAATGTTTTGTAATGTACAGTTTGTGCAGATAAGCATGTTTTGCATTATCATTTGGAAATTACTTTTCTTAATTTGTCCTTGTGTGTTGGTTATGATGAACTAATGGTGTTTGTAATTCTCAAAGACTGTGTACGACTGGGATTGATACTTTTGGCATGTGAACTATTCCCAGTCCTGGTTTCATGAGCTCATCATTTAGTGCCATTTTAACACTGTAAAATAGGATTAAATGTAATAAAAGTGTACTGTTTAGCAGTTTACTAAAACTGTGGTAGCTTAGCAGTTTTTGTTAAAGAGTGAAGTTTATTTTTAAAGCAGTATTTATGTTTGTGAAACTCTTACTCCAGGCAGTGATAGATTTACAGCGGAATAGACTGTCGAGTTACTTTAAATTACTTTTCACTGTCACTTATCTTTATCACACTACTATGGCTATACAATATTTGAAAATCTTATGACTCTTAAAACTATAAATATTTTGATCACTATATTAGGTATGACATGTGCCTATTTTTTTCTTCCCTTTCTTTCCTCATTTGCCTTTACATCTCTCTGTGACCTTTAGCAATTCAGGCAATGTACTCTGGATGTGATGTAAGCATTTGCTGCCATAATACTATGCCCAACCAGCTAAATATCACAGTAAGGTGCATATTAACAGTGGATAACATTTAGAATACAATTGCTAGGTAACAATTATTGCACTCCAAACAGTCCTTTGATATATTAATATTGAACACACTGATGCACCTATTTATTTTAACACGTACCCTTGTTGTAGAGTTTTAGTCTTTGCTGTACAGAGGTGATGGCCCCGAGTACGGAGAGTCTGTTAACTCGACTCTTGATGTTGGAAGCAGTGCCAAACTCATCCGCCAACATCTTGGCTACTCTGGAAATCTGGTCCTTTGGGGGAATGATCAGTGAGATCATGCTGGTGCCATTGCTATGTAAGAGATGAGGATTTACAGTTAGTGCCTGAAAAAAACTCAGAGAAGGAATAATATACTATAATAATATATAATAATCTTCTACATATACTATTGGTCAACTATTGTTGACAGTAATATAATGAATATAATACATTAATACCAGGATTCATTTAATTAACTTCTATATGACCTTCTGTTACTCCAATAACTCCATTTTTATTTCTTTATTAGTGTGTAAACACACAGTGTTCCTTACAGAACATCACAGATAAAAAGGTTTTAAAGTGAAGGGTCAACAAAGATGGTCTTTCATCTGTACACAACTAAATCACTGTCCTTGAAAGCAAAAACTGTGCATGGCATGTGTATCCTTTCACGACCTGTTGTGAAGACAAAGCATACTGGTACAGCCTGACACCGGACACAAACACTCAACAGCAGGTAGCAACGGCGGGATAAATGTAGGGCTAACAGTCAACTGTGTGTAATATGGTGGGCCTCAGAGCACAGCACTAAATGACAAGCTGTCACAGAACAGACAGTGAAACAGGACACAGGTTTCAGATGTGAATCCTGATCAGTACAGACACTTAAAACGCTCATGTCACTTAATACTAGTACTAAGGAAATTTATTTTCACCTTCCGTCCTAGTCAGGTCACTCTTCAGCATAACACTCAGTGATTGCTGGCCATGAGGTGACCAACATAAAGAATCTTTAGGGGATTTTTTTAAAATTCTGTCATACGAGACATGTCAACATCAACGTAGCAAACTTGATCTCAAGCTGTAAAATGTATATCGGGGAGCACATGGAAGCCAAACGGTACACATTCTTCCTTTCTATTAAACTGCGTTTTATTTAAAGCCACCCATAGCGGCCTCTTTCCAGAGATGACGTCTGCTAGCGGACTGTGCTAGCAAAAAAGCTAGTATCGCTGCTTCCACATTACTACTCTTAATTTCAGGAAACATTTAAAAATTCAGAAAAATAGTCTGACAAAATACAATTTAAGCGAAAACACCATCGCGTCGTAACACATAGTTTAAAACTCTTTGACACATTGATAGCGACGGGAGTTAGCACTTAGCAACCAGCTAACAAAATAGCAGCTAACGTAGCAATGCTAACCACTCCCAAATTCGGCCTCATTTACTCGATGTCCAGCTGTTGCGGCACCACACATTCACATTGTTACTCGTTGCCATAAAACTGAGGCGCAACGACCGCAGGCATCAATTTGACACATAGCCTAAATTAATCGCTTACCCGCGGGCAGCTTCCAAACTTTTGATCAGCTTCTTGATTTTCCATATCTCCACGTTTCTGTCCGCCGCGCTGGGGTCGTCCGCCATCTTTCTGCTGTAATAGCTTCAGCACCTGAAAAGACGTTGAAATAACAGGAAAACACATGCAGTGAGTCATCCGGGAAGCTAACTGTCTAGTACACAAGACCTTGATAGGCGAACATGTCTGCTGTAACGAACTGCACCGGGTGCCGCACCAAACTGCTAGTGCGTTCACCGTTATAGCACATGACCACTATTGGCAGTTGAGCTGACCGTGAGGGAAGGGCTCCGCTTGGTCTGCCGCTGTTAGCACAGAGCGCGGAGAATACCAGGCCTAAAGTTAACCAGGCCCTTGCGTTCTTATCTAATACGACCTACTTTCTTCGCGTTCCCCTGGAAACCATGGAGACCATATGGTCGCTTTTAGTATATCGATACTATGAATAGAAAAAGTGCCGGTATATTACCTGCCTCGGACAACGCCGCTCCACTCCGCTCTCGTTCTGCTGCGTTACGTCGAGTCGGTGGTGCGAAGAATGACGTTGCGTTCCTAACCGGTTTCTCTGCGCGTGGTGCTTTCGACAGGAGCTCACATGTGGGAGGTGGTTAGAATCATGGCGTTCACTTCCTGGAAACCGCATAGAAACCAATGAGATATCTTAAATGATCTGTCAGTTTAAACCAAACTGAAATACGATTGGATACAATTTAAGGACGACCCCCTAAATGGGTGGGGACCTTCAACTATCATTCATGGGACTTGTAGTACTTCAGACATTATTCGAGCGGGTGTGCAACACTTTAAATAAATAAAAACGATTAATAGGACCCCTCCGGGGTCAATTATTTACATACTTATGAAGGGATATAAATAACTCAGAAATCTAAGCTGCAATATAACAGAACATGGGTTGTCATGTTAAATAACACAAAAAAGACATTAAATTTGACTGCCTATTTAAGGCCAAGGAAATATTTAACTATGGCAGCAAACATATAAATCGACGTTTAAGAAGACGATCCAGGGTAAGATCTGTTTGATCCATTTCTCACTTGGCTTTAAGCTACTTGTCAAAGTTCACAGTAAAAGGAAGCATACACTACTATGTAAGTTTCAGATCATCAAATACATTTTATTGTCTTGTTGGTTGACTCACAAGCTCTCAAACTTTAGGTCATGAACTGATGCCCACAATTTCTCCTTCACATTTTTAAATAAAGAACACTTTTTTTCTTTTTTTTTTTTTACTGCAGGTTATACCTGATCTCTATGTCTATTTTTGGAGGGTTCTCAAAAATGGCAACCCCAAAGTGATTTCGATAAATCTCAGGAACTGCAAGGAGCATTTGAATGGTTCTGGTATAAAAATGAATTTAACACTCAAGAGAATATTCTGAAGATCTAAAATTACAATTTCTACTACTGAATGAGAGCAAACAAAAAATGGCAAAAACAAAAATGAGATAAAAAATTCTAATAGAATATATTTGTGGATTTTCCTTGGAAGTATGCACAAATCCTTCCACAGTACGGGCTCTGCATGTACTGTACCAAATTTCCTCCCAAAAAAATGATAAAAATTGTTACAAGCCTAGACGAACATTCCAAATGTTCAATTTTTTTACATTTTGGCACCAGGCGTGCAATTACAAAATGTTCTCTCTTTTTTTTTTTTTTTTTTTTTTTTTACAAATTATTCATTCATTCCCCCCCCCAACTTACATCTTGCTATAAATTTCCATTGCAATGAATAACAATGGTTTTTGAAACAATATAAGAGTACTGTTAAAAAGTACTCTCCTGTGTTCTCTGGTCATAGAAGTATTCAGCATTGGAGTCTTAAAATCAAACACTGCAGGGCAGTTTATCTGTAACCCATTAATTGTTTTGGATGATTGACACATTCAATAGCCAATAGAATCAGTGGGAGTGTACAAAATCACATAGCAACCTTATTCACCAAGCCCAGTGAGGGAAAAGGCATTTGAATTAATGAGGAAAATGCTCTCTTGCGCGAAAGTGAAGGAAAGTCCGCCTGAGTTTTCTGCACAGTATCCAAGGGGACAGAAAAATTGAAAATAGTGAGGAATGACAAAAGGACAATGGCTGAGTGGAAATATTCATTCAAACATGGTTTATGACAATGAAACAGCAAAGGTAGGACTCAAATTATGGTTTTGGCTTTGTGAAATGAGCCTTGTTTTTCCTCTTCTTTGGCTGCTGGTTCAGTGACTTCTGCACATAGTGGTGAAGTTAGTGGAAAGAGTATAGCTTTGGTTTTAATCTCATAGGTAGTTTGCTAGGGCCGTGATGCACTATTGCTGCTGTGTGTTTAACTGGGTATGCCATTTTAGCGTCTATTTACTTTCTTTATTTAGCTGCTTAGTGTTGAAGCTGGGTGTTGTCAAGGTAAAAAATATTGCTTCTCTCATTTAGATGAGCTTTTGGCCATTATGTGGAGCAATATGCCCAGGGCCGTGCAGAGTCCTTTGGAAGGGCAGGGGCTCAAAGTTGAAAAAGGGCACATTGAACAAGATCTTGAAACACTGTACAACAGCGTAGCAATAACCCACATTAATCAAGAATTTAATTGGATCCTATTAAATCATTGCTATCATGTGAGGACAATGCAAAGCAAATTTAGTCTATATTTTCCCCAACAGGTACAGTGTTGCTGTTTCTGCTGCTGACAGTCCTGGAGGGCTGAGTTGATCTGACACAGTAGTTTAGGAGGATGTTATGGTGAGGATGTTTTCGCTTAAATCATATTTTCTCAGACTAATATTTTTCCTCTTTCATTGTACCTACAGGAGAAAAACCTGTTTCATGTCAAATTCTGATTGTGATGTTTTGGTTCATGATGCAAACCTAGATGATGTCATGAGTACTGTAATAATAACTCTTATTATAATGCAAGTCTCGTGTGGTTAGTTGCATCACAGTACTGACTATGATGCAAGCTGGTAATTTTCAAGCATGACTGAAAAACTGCTCAATTAGTAAATAGCACAAGGAATAAAATAAATTGAAGGCAAATATTAACAGTTCACATTTCTTGTTCACATTACAATCATTTATTTGTTAAAAATACATGGTAAAAGCTAATGATGTATTTTTCAAAATAATACAGGTTACTATTTAATTACTATTTATTGTTTCCAAAGCCAAAAGATCCTTCTCAAAACTTTACATTTTATTGATATTGACTGTCCTTGCTTCCACTAAAAGCAGAGATATTATCTAGGAAATAGAGCAGAAAATGAAATTAGTTGTAAATACAATTGTTGATTTAAATATAATTTAGTCTGGTTTGCTAAATAAAAAACAGTGTTTAATCTGAGAGGAGTTATGTGTTCATTTTGTCTTCATCAGCACTGAAGCAGCCTGCAGTTTTTTTGAGTTTTTTTTTTTTTAACAGTGATCGAAAATTAAGGCCTTAGCAGATTTACACCACTAGATGACAGCATTGGTTAGTGGGAAAACGAATGGCAAAGTCTGTCTGTCATTCAATAAATATTCTTGATGCTTCTGTCTCTTTGTGACACTCAATAAAACATTCAGAGCTGGGGCTTTTTTTGTTTCCATGTCTAAGTTTGGCACTCTGTTTGTTAGGCATTGGTAGTTTGCCTTATGTTGTATATTAGTCAATGTCTTTAGTGTATTTGAGCTGTCTGAGTATGGGGCAACAGGCTCAAAGAAGATCCCTGCAGTATTATGAGTCCCTGGTGAATAGAAATGTTAGAGGGAGGTGCAGCAGAGATGGGGAATTTCGGTGGTACTGTCAGGAAGACTACATCATAGGGAAAATGTGATGAAGCAGTTTATGAAACTCACCCTCTCTGAAAATCTCTAGCACTTTTATCAGTTCCAATTCATCACCATCTGTCGACCATCAGTGCTAGAGCGATCTGTCGGCTGGAAATGGATGGTGCTCACTGTGCTGTGAATGGGGCCTGCCCTGAGCAGCCTGGCTATTCCTCACTTCATCTGATTGTCCACATGAGCATAGCTATGCAGAGAAAGTTGACATAGAGTTATTTTTTTTCCGCTTGACAATTCTCTCTCTTTCTGTCTTGATTTCGCCTTCTTTATTTTTTTCTTTCTCTCTGGGGGAATATCTTTACCTTTGCAAAATAGCTAAAACTCCAACAGATTGGGTAATTTGTGAAAGACCATTTTTAACATGCCATTTATTGTCAATTGGATTGAAGGCTGGACTAGGCTTGACTGCACCATTCCAACAAATAAATATGCTTTTATAAACCATTTCCTCATCATTCTGGCTACGTTTAGGGTTTCTGTACTGCTGAGGTGAATTTCTGCTCGGGTCTTTTAAATTTTGCAGCCTGTGACACATTTTCCTTGTGGATTGCCCTTTGTTAACTTGATTTTTCTTCTAATCAGCTCAGACCAGCTTCTCTATCCATGTTAGAGACGAGCATTCTACAGCATGATGCTGCCACTATTGTGTTTTAGCTTTCTGTGTTCAAGTTTATGAAATACGTTAACTTGTCTTTTCTTCTATAGCATTTTACAAGTAGGTCATTTGCGTTTCAGTATTGTCTGACATGTTCCATGTTTTCTACCTCATCTCCCTTATTTGTGGAGTTCATAACTAACAGTTGATTTATCAATTGACTTGAAGCTATGGATCTCTCCAGCTCCCAGAGTGTTGCATATGGGTCTCTTGTATGGTTCTCTAATTAATACTATCCTTGCCCCAGCAAACTTATTAGTTGAATGTCTGTATTTTTGGTGATGAACTGAAGAGATGTCTGTGTTTTTAATGATAGAAATTATGTAATAACCCAGTCATGTTTTGTCTCCACTACTTTCTCCCTGAATACTACTGACCATTAAAAAAGTTTTTACTTCACAATTATGCAAAATATTTACATTGATCTACCAAATAAAACTGCAATAAAATATTTTAAACGTGGTGCGGAACATAATGTTATTGTGGTTATATTTTGACCTGTTATTGGTGTTGTAATGGGACAAAATGTGAAAAAGCTTTAGGTGTGAGTATTTCTGCAAGGAACTTGTATTTGTTGAAGAGATCTGTAAGAAAATGTGTCCCCCATTGTTAAATTATCTTACATTTGTTCAGAATACCATAGATTGGCCTTTTTTTTAAAAGCTGAAATAAATACCAGAAAACCAGAAAAATAGATCACTGCTTATTTTCCCCCCATGAGCTATTTTATTGACTAAAATTAACACCTAATTCAATTGTTGTTATTTCTTATGCTGGGCTTCAATTTATAGATAAGATGGACGTTCATCACTCTGTGCTTTGAGCCAGGAGACCTTTTATTCCCCAGCTTGTAACAAGAGCGGATAGCAGTCAGCGTCACAGCTGTGTGTATCATGACAGCCAATCCATAATGAAGAAGGGAGCCTCATGCGAGTGTCTGAGGTGTCTATATGCTGGAGAGTGAGAGAATTACTGTGTCTGCAGAGTGACCCAGAACAGATGCAACCAGGTTCATTGAGGCCCTATTTCCATTTTGTGGCCATCTGCTTAAGCCGAGTAGCGCGAAGAAAGAAATACGTTTAGGTGGGAAGAGGGATTCACAGGAGTATTCAAGGACACCGCCTTGCACATCTTCGTCAGAAGTTGATACATCAGAAATACTTGAAGTAGTGACACAATTCTATCAGGTGTTAAATGAAAACGAAGAGAAACGTCTTGAAACACCAGTTTCTGTGACTTCAGTGCCTTTTCTTCCATTAAAAAAAATATCTGCCACTTTGTACGTACAGGGCTGCTAGTAACTAGACCAAATAAAACTCTTCAGAGGGATGAAGTATCTCTTACTCTCTGCTGACTAGCTAATCTGTGACACAGCCTGTGCTTGTCTCTCAAGCTTTCATTCTCGGTCTTTCCAACAAAAACAGAGGATCACAGTCATCAGCATTTCAATGGCATGCTGATGTCTTAATCCAATCTTCTTAGGTTGTTTTGCATGAAAGCAAGCATGTGCAAATGTTGATGTCTGGCTGCTATCCATATTTTCTTTGTCAAATTTTACTTTGGAGACAACAGCAGAGGAAGCAGAAGGGATGTATTTTGTGTATTTGCGAATCTCAGAGTTTGACATTCTTGTCACATCCTTGGCTCCCTTACTGCTCCCCACACAGGGAGTAGGAGATTTAAGGATCTGCACTGTAATATTAAGTGGATTAATCAGGAATTGAGAGCCGAGGTTGTCATAAATATAAATGAGTTCTTTTAAGGCATAGGGTGAAGCATGCATCAAGTTTCCACAGTGTAGGCTATTAGAAGTTTATTGGAGCAGTGGATTAAGACCAATAACCTCAATTTAGAGGCCAGGACATGATGTCAATCTTAATGATGCATTGGAAAGGGGTTAAACCCAAAGGTAATATTTACCAGCTGGCTCACATACACCACTGACTGACCCGGGGCATAAACCAATTGTCTTTCATGCCTCAGGGAGCAGAGGGCTTTATGTGTTTTGCAGTTTGATTTGAACTTTAAAAGTCTTAATGTCTTTTTTTCTGCTTGTGTAACGTAAGCACCTTTATATTTTAGGATAAGCTGAACAGCTCGAGCAAACAATGTGGTACAAGTATTGAGATTATGAAAAACTCATCACGTGATGATTTAATCCCAGGGTTTGCCTTAAAGCTATCCATATGCTAAAAATACATGAAGATATTAAAATAACCCCTACATTAATGTGCGACAGCATAAATACTATAGCTAAATACATCTTGTCTTCTTTCACTGCTGGCATGGCTTATAGAAGTATGGATTCCACAAGACATAAGAAACCAAGACATCAGAAGCAGCTCTGTTCATTTCTGTATCTCATAGAATGAATAGTTCTTACAAGGAAGTTACATAAATTTTTGTCTGATTTGAGACAAATCAAGACAAGAAAAAAAAAGACAACTGCTTTTTTTTTCTTCAAATTCCTCCAGCCATGCCAAAACAAATTTGAAATCAGTTTATATGCTATGAAAGAAGGATTTTCAAAAGTAACATGAGTAGGATTGACAGAGTCCAAGATTTATAAGCAGAACCAAAGCGTCCCAAGCCCTGCTTCCCTTCAATGCCTCCTTCTGCAATTCAGATAAATGATGGGGTTCCACATATTGTTGAAGAAAACATGATTTATAATACCAAG